AGATTTGTGGATGGCCGTGCGAGGTATAAGAGGATGAATGGAGCCCCAAACATACATGTAAACTCGTCACTGCAAAATGCAAAGAAAGTGCGCAGGCACTGGGATGGGTAGGACTCTAAAACAAGTACAAGATCTTAGCTAGAATGGACATTTTTTTCACAGAGATTCTACCCATCTAGGCCAGCGGCAAGGAGGACCATTTGATCATAAGGCTAGTAAGGTGAGCTAGCATAAGAAGGTAATTAGCAGAATAAAGACCTGAGGAGCTAGTTGTCAATTTGATGCCTAAATAGGGAATAGAATGGTGGGACCAAGAAAACGGTAAAACCTGTTGCAAATGAACCATCTCCTGAGGAGGTAGGGAAATGTTTAATACCATTGACTATTGGGGACTGACTTGAAGGCCAGAGATGCGACAAAAATCTTGAAGAAGCCTCAGTAAATTAGGAACAAAAAAGTCAGTCAGGGAGGTTAGAAAGAGGAGTACGTCATCCACTTATGGTGAGATCCGCCTATCTCAAGCCCCCGTATGTCTGGATCAGCTCTTATCAAAAAGGCTAGAGGCTGGATGGCTAGGGCAAAGAGCAACAGTGAGAGTGGGCATCCTTGGCGAGTGCCTCGCAGAACTGAAAAAGATGCTGACTTATGCCCCAGGTATCGAACACTAGCCGACAGGTCGCAGTACAGAGAGGAGATCCAAGAAAGGAAGTGGGTCCCAAAGCCCCATTGTTGTAAGAGCAGACCATGAGACTGTGTCAAAGGCCTTCCTAATATCTAAGGACAGGTAGCAGGTGGGCATATTGCGAGCATGGGCCAAATGAGAGAGAAGGACTGCGCATCTAACGTTGTCACCATCTTGGCACGTGGGGTTAAAGCCCACTTGCTCATTGTGGACAAGAGAGCCAATAATTGGGTTAAGGTGGGTGGAGAGAATTTTCATGAGAAGTTTAATATCTATATTGAGAAGAGAAATAGGCCTATAGTTGTACCAGGCAGAGTCATCAGAGCTGGGTTTCGGGCCATCACGGTTTTGGGTTTAAAGGACTGGCCAGCTAGGATGGTGTTTAAAGCATTTGCTAATACCGGGGAGAGAAGGTGGGCGAATTTCTTATAATAGGCAGCGGAGAAACCATCCGGGCTAGGGCGTTTACGCAGCTTTAGGGCCTTAATAGCATTTAGTGCTTCAGCTGGTGACATCGGTTTCTCAAGAGTTTGCTGGTGATGGACGGTCACTTTCGGAAAAGTACTGTGAGCAAATAGATTTTCTGCACGAGGCTGATCAAAGGGTTCTGTCTGAGAGTATAGCTGGGCTAAGTGCTTACGGAAAATTTGCAATATCTGTATGGGGTAACTGGTGTAACTACCCTGAGATACTTTCAAGCAGATTGGTTTAGTGGCACGGTCCAATCTGTGAAGTGAAAGGGCCAGGAAAGTGTCCAGTTTGTTCGCTTTGGTGTAGTGTTTGTGCTGAGACCTACAGAGAGACAGCTCTGCTTGGTCTGTCAAAAAGAGAGAGTTCCAAGCGGAACTGCTCCAAAGCCTTGCGTTTATTAGGCGATGGAGTGGTTTGAAATGCCTGATGAGATAGGTTGTAAGCTGCTTTAAGGCGGTGGTGCAGCTGGCGCTTCTCTCTGTTAGAGGGGTCTGCATTAGTAAATCATCCTTAAGCACTGGATTGTGGGCCTCCCACAAAAGGAAAGGAGAGAATTCCGGGGTGGAATTCGTTGACAAGTACTCTTTAAGAGCAATCTCTAGATCTAAGCTATGTTTAGGATGAGATCGTAAAGATTGTAAGCTCGAAAGAGCAGGGCCCTCGAACCCCTCATGTATTGTTTTGTTACTGTATTGTCTCATGTACTGTCCCCCCACTTTAATCTACAGAGCTGAGCAAACCTTTTGGCGCTATATAAACACTGAATAATAATTATCATTGATAACCCAAGAAGCATTGGTAGCAGAGGGGGCCAAGGACGAAATAGGTGTGATAACATCACTATGTTCAGACCATGGTATAGGAAGCATATCCGAAGCGAGGAGTCGAGAGGAGGAACAGACAGACGTTAGGATATGATCAATGCGAGAAAACATTTTGTGTGGGTGAGAATAGTAGATATATCACCGCTTCACAGGGTTAAGTTCTCTCCAGGAATCTCCAGGAGTGGCAATGCAAGAGTTGTTGGAAAGATTCTTGAGGCAGGCGGGAGGGGTGGTTGGGGGGGGATTTGTCCAGGAAGGGATATAGGGTACAGTTGGAGACTCCGCAAATAAAGAGGGTGCCACACTTGTGGCAGTAAGTGAGGGTCAGTAGGTTTGAGGAATGGGAGTGGACCTGGACTGGGGGCGTAGTAAGCAACAATGGTAACTTTGGAGTCTAGGAGGAGTCCCAACAGAATGAGGAGCCGACCCTCAGGGTCTCTGATCTCAGCACAGAGAGTAAAGGGGACTGGGCGATGGAAGGTGAGAAGGACTCCCCTGCGCTAGGAGTTAGCGGAAGCAGTGAAGACTTGAGGGTAGTGTGGGCCAAAAAAACTTAGGTGTGGAAGTAGGAGTAAAGTGCATCTCCTGTAAAACAGACCACATGCGCTTTTTGGGACACAAAAGATCAAAAGGCCTTATTACGTTTTTGTGGGACATTGAGGCCCTGTACATTCAGGGTAAGAATGTTTAAGGGTCCCATGGTGGAATGGCGTGATCTGCAAAAAAGTGGCGAGTGGAGCACACATGGTATTGTCCAGAGGAGGATTAAAGAAATAGAGAAATGAGAAAGGATCAGGGAAGTCACACGGGAGAGCGAAAGGGGTAACAAAAAAGTAAGGAACAGTAACTGGTAGGAAAGGAGATGGGCAACGGAGGCCCGTAGCATGACCTCCAGGACAAGTGTATCGCAGATAGTCCGGGGGGTCAAAAATAGTCCGAGCAGTACAACAACCCGGTACTGCATGGACTAGTGGTGGGAGCACAGTGGCAGACATAGGGGAGAAGACAGCCAAAATATAAACACAAGTTGACGGGCACATGTCTTAATGACCAGCGCCTTAGGCTCCCAGAGTGCCAGGTTAGTCCGAGGCTTGGGCAGCACACCTGGGTAACACAACTGCTTAGGGGTATCGAAATGCAGGAATATGAAAATGCGGCAGGTATAACCGGGCCTAGGACTCCCAGGCAAGCAAAACGGTGCCTCAGCAAACATACATAACAGGGGCAACAAACCGAGATTATATAACGTTTTGTTTTTTTTTTTCTAACAGCTTCAACAGAATAGTAGGAGACGATTGATAAGATTGACCAGCATCGATCCACAGACAAGATAAGCGGGACTGGGTAAACACGGCCTCAGGCCGGTAATTGTCGGACCGATGGTGCATTAGGAAGAACAAAATCCATTGCAGCTGTTCGTGGAGCTAGGGATGAATGGGGAATGATTGGTGGAAATTCGCCGGGTCCTGTCATCAGGGAAAGACAGATGTTTGATGATCAGATGAGGAGCTGGGACAAGCCACTGAGGAAGATGGAGTTCGACCATGATGTATAGCGGTGGGGAAACCAGAAAGGACGTTCCCGATTCCAGGCACGGCCCAATGAAGGGCAATGAAGTAGTTCTGCTTGCACTTGTGAGCTTCAGTCCATAGAATCTTGGGGGTGCTGGAAGTGGAGAGGAGTATCGTTCTCATTTGTAAGAGCTGAGCTGACCTCTGGGTGAATGAGAGGATCTGCTCTTCTGTGGGGAGCATGACGCAGACCGTCGGCGGGATCCGTCTTGAGAAGCAATATGGCGTTGAAATTGGAGATGTTGCAGAGTATTGAGAAGATCTGTTGGAGACCTGCAGGTGTAATCACGGGAGTGGTAGGAGAAGCAAACAGCAAAAGGAAAGCTCCATCTGTAGGCTATAGCCTGTTGCAGAACCTGGAGGTGAGGTTTCATGGCTCCGCATTTGGAAATCGTAGCAGGGCACAGGTCTTGAAATAGCTGATAATTGTGGCCTTGGAGGGTTAGGGTCCCTGCATTGCCGGCGCTTGTAGGAGTTGTTCCTTGGTGCAAAAATAATTGAACTTGGCAATATCGCGTGGCAGGCCATCTGGGCGGCAGGGGGTCAACGCATGGTGGACCCTGTCCAATTCAAGACGTTCAATCGGTATTGCAGGAGCCAGCTCTTGGAACAGAGCCGTAACCGTGGAGAGGACATCAGTTATAGTTTTTGGGAGGCCGTGGAAACGGATATTTGAGCATCGGGCCCTATTTTCAAAGTCCTCTTATCGGGACTGCAGGGTCAAATTTTCATCACGTAGGAGCTCAATATTATCTGAATGAGAATGTATAGTGACATCTAGGTCGTCAACCCTATGTTCCAGGTTGGAGGTGCGTTACCCCAGGTCCCGGATTTCTTTAGACAGTTTATCGATTATGCGGTCTGATGTCTGTTTCAAGGCTTTATGTAGCATTTTTTTTTCAAATTGCTTGAGTAGGTCAGGATGTGTAGGGGCAGGGGTGGGAGCCTGTAGTGGTACCCCCAGGTCAGAGTGAGACTCACCATCTGAGGTGCAGTGGGATAGTGGCTGTGCAGCCTGCAGTGCTGCATGTGGCTGTGAAGCAGAGGCAGCCGCCATCTTGGACAAGGCCCAAGCCAGGGCCTCCTTAATAGGTTTCGCCTGGGGCTGGTGCTTAACGGTCCCCCAGACCATCTATGTCGGTGCTGTGGGGATGCTGCTGAGGTAGCCGGAGGGTAAACAAGGCAGAGGCGGGCTGGGAGCAGCGTCTAGGAGGCTTCTTCTCCCACTATGTTGCGGTGCCTCAAAACAGACATGTCCGTTCCAGCACCTACGTTTAATTGGTGCTGCATCCCTTGGTTCCATAAGTAAATGGATGAACAAAATAACTGGGCTGCAAGTTACTGTGCATATTTAGAAAAATCACATTGGGATTAGGATTACTATTGTAGACATTACAAAACCAGTAGTTTTTTTTTCTGCTGTATTTTTTTTTTTTTTTACTTACAAGGGTTTTGTATCTTGACTGATGAATCAGGGTCAGGATGTTGCTTATGTATCACCTGAGTGTTAATCTGTTCAATAAGAATCTGTAGGGAAAAAAAAAAAAACAGCCCACTGTTATATGTAATTAGAGTTAATAATTCTATAAACTCAAGCGTCTCATACCATAAATGGAAAATTAAGGTTAAAAAAAAAAAACCTGTTTAAATCGCAGAGAAGAAACAAAAAAAAAAAAGCCCGTCATGAGTGCACTTGGAGAGCTCTCTTATAACTAGCAGTAATTGTAACTTCTAATCTTATTTCATGAGGTTAGCTAGCAAGGCGAGAAAAAAAAAAAAAAAAAAAAAAAAAAAAAACCTTCCCCTGTGTCATGCACACTTAAAGCACACAAATAGCTGTTTGTTTCGGTGTGCACAGTGAATCTGTATGGGAGTGACTTTATAATTATCAATCAGCTGTGGCACGTGCAGGGCTCTAATGAGGAGATTGGCAAAGTCTCTATCCCTTTAGACGTAGTTTCCCTTTGTAAGGATCTCATCAAAAATGACATTGTTGCAGGGGACGCCAAAAATCTGACTTGTATCTTAGTGAAGACTTCTGGAAAAATCAGTAAGCCAATCACTCAAGCAGGAAATGACATTTTCACATAGCATGTTACAGAAAATTACAGCGCTGCAGATTGAAAAGTTAATTTTTAAAACCATTCCATTACAGTACGTTTTGTGTCACAATTGTATAATATATATATATATATATATATATATATATATATATTTATATTTTATTTTTTTTTTATTAAATTAATTTTTTTGCCTTTTTTTTCCTCCCACGAAAGTGGAGTTAACCTTAAATCAAATAGCATGAAGTTGGTTCCTCCATCTCGAAAAAAAAAAAAAAAATGAAATACTTAAAAGCTGCAGTACAGAGGAAGGAGAACCACAGCCTCTTTTTTTATTTTCTACCTAGAATTCAGTGTGGGGAGCTTAACTAACACATTAGACCTGAAAAGAGAGACACCAATGATTCAGTTGTTGGAGCCTGTTACCAATGTAACAAAAAATAAAAGGCTGGGATTTGAACTTTGTACATACTTGACATACAGTAACCTAGTACCGAAAAATATAGGATGGAATTTGAATTAAAGTCTAAATATAATACACTCTTCAGTAAGGAGGATGTTCCAGTCCAGACACATGATCGTCTCCCAGTGGCAGCTTCAGGTGAGAGGAGGGACAGCCAACAGAAGCCCCATAACAAGCCTATGGTTGATGTCACCGCACAGGCATTTCAGCCATTGTCAATGATCTCTCCGCTCCCCTGAAGCTGGCTGGTGGGAAGATCACATGACCGGGCCAGAGCGTCCTCAGAATACAATTTAGAAGGGGGATGGGAGCAGGTTTAAGCGTAGTTAGGAATAGATTGGACTTCCATTTTAAACTCACACAGTTTCTCACACATTGTTCCGCAAAAGCATACTACCATAACAAAAAAGAACAAACATAATACCTCAAACAACACATTGTATGTTGTAACTGTGATGGTTTTTGCCTCTAGCATCAGCCTCTCAGCCAGGAGAGAGAATAACCCATGGGCCTGCATAACTTCAACTTTCCTCCTGTACCAGAAAGGAGTAATTCATATTAGAAGCTTGTTTTCTAGCATCCCACAGCTACAAAGCACAACTAAATGCAAATATTAAAACCAATATCAGAATGTAATTGAATAAAAAAGTTACATTAAAACTACTAAAAGAAAAAGGAAGCATGTCCAGCCAATTTATTTTTCAGTTTTGTATAGAGAAAGGGAGGGTTGTTAGAGAGATTTCCCCTCACTTACTGTCACAGAGTTCCACCATTTGTTATTTAATTTCTTTCTTTTTTTAATAGCAGAGGAAACATTTTTAAGCTTTTTAATGGTGTCTCAGTCCCAGTTACAGATTTTCCCTCAATTCCTCTGTGATAAATCTGCAGTCACCAGGACAGTAATTGAGGAGAAATTCTCCTGGAGCCCCAAAATACCAGTACACATTACCCAAAACCGGAAAAAAAAAAAAAAAAACCCCACACACACACACTATTTGGCTGAACATACACTGTAAAAACAAATGGAAGGCAATCACTGTACCAGTGTAAACCTGGAAATTACATGTAAGAAATGTGCCTGACCCTCTTATTCTTCTGGGTACCATAGAAATCCTAAGCAAGTGAACTGAATAGCTTTAAGCTGCTTCTAGGCAACGTCACAAAGTTATAGCATCCAGTATTTCACAGTCGTGCTGTCTGTCTACATTGATGTTCATACCCTAACATACTGTTATAGACTGTGGCGCCTCTACAGCTAATCTTTTCTCTGATACTGACTTACTATACCTTCACCTGCACTGTGGCTCTGTGTGGCGGAGGCCATTTTGGTAAAGATAGAGTTTGCATCCTCAGGTGAGAACTTCCAGCTGAGATAATAGTGAACAGCACCTGAAGTGACATCACCAAAGCAAACTTCAAATCATCGGAG